TCATTTTAGATTAAAATGCTCTAGTGTCACACTTGGTAAAGCAATATTTTAATAGAATGTCATTAATTAGTCTGATACTGATGTCTATTAAAATGATCTGTTCATAAACATAAACTAGCCAAAACAAATGTACTATAAAATGAAATAGTGTTTGTATGAATTCAGAAAAAAGACACGTCAGTCACAACTGCATATGTGTACACAAAGTACGCGCTGTGCCCTGATTGGTGTTTTTGCTTCATGCTTCGTCCTGCACATCGGCTTGGTGCATGACCCACAATTTGAGTTCCAGCTCATATATGTATATATATATATATATATATATATATATATATATATATATAGTCATGACTAAAACACGATGTTCAACACAATATCTAGTTTTTGTGAGATGTATTTGTATAATAAAATCCATCTGTCAGGAACTGCTGTGCCATTTACTGTGTAATGGACTTTCATGCACTCTTATTGTTGCTTCGGTCCTTGTCTCTGCGCTGCTCCCTCAACACCCCTTTAGTGTTCCCATCTGTGTGTAGACTGTAGCTCCACCCACCCACTCTCAGGTGTTTCTAGTTCATTCTGAGTGTATTTATACCCTGGTGGTTTGTCTTGCCTTCACTCGGTGTTGTTGTTGTTTCCAGGCCTTGCTTAGTGTTTGTGGTTGTATCTTCTCAGTCTTTTGTTTCCTTTTAGGTTGAACATCTTATTTCTTGTGCTTTTTTTAGTCTTTTTCTTAGTCACTCTTGTGGATTTCTTTCATTTTCCTCAACGGTTACAATCAAAACACAGACTCACACTTGTATCTTACCCCCTCGCCTCCCTCAACATTGCACCATCAGCTGATGTGGTCAAATCTCATCATTTTGTGCACATCACATTTCACTGTGTACGTTTTGTGGATTTGGAGACCCCTCTGGTGAAAATGTGTAATTGCATGAACATTTATGACATCAGCTATGCTTTAAATGCTTTTGCACTAGTTTCAGTGCTTTGGACGACTTCCATCGGGGGACGAATGTGATGATTGCGAGTACCTTAAAAGAGTATAAAGTACAACCAGCTTCTAAGACTGAACTTTGGAGGTGTGTCTGCAGATTCTTTGAGAAGCTGAAAGTGAGTCTCCTGAAAAGAATGGCAGCTGGAATAAAGGGAAAGAGAGACTCACTGAACACTGATTTAATCTGATATTTGATTTAGTCGATGAGGCTTCTGTGTAGATGTCTGTTAAAAGTGCTTTCTGCTTTTGTCTGGAAAAAAAAGGCAGTTTGCACTGGAAATAAAAATAAGAAAGAAAGAAAAGTACCTTGGGGTCTCTATCTTTTGCACAGTGACATAAATGATGTGCAGATGATGTAAATGGCACATCAGTATTTGTTTAATATGTTAATAAGACATTTTTTTTCAATTCAAGATGAAGTTGATCATTTTCTAAGTGAAAATCCTCCACAGGAAAGAAATTGAATGACATTTTTCCTGCATAATAAAATGTGCCATAGGTTTGGAACAGGACACATTTTGTTTTACATTTCGCTGTTGTCAGTTCAAAACCTCGTATCTCCAAAATGGTAACTTTACATGAAAGGAAAAAACCTACTTTACTTTTAATGTAAGCCAATGGAACCAGACGTTCTCCAAGTCATTTCTTTTCATCCATTCATCATGAAATTTTACCACAACGTAAACAGCAATAAGCATTTTCTAATTATATCTAAAACTGAAAATATGATAAAAATAGAGATACCAGGTTTTCTTCTGACACCAGCGATATGTTACATTCAGCCAATAAACCATAATTGTGTATCAAAATGTGCAGAGCTGTGTTTTCAATTTGTGTTAACTTATTTTCAGAAAATCAGCTAATCATATGATTTTACCAGGGCACCAAACATTTGCATGTTACTGTATGATTATATTCAAATCACCTTAAAATACAGAATCTGCAAATGAGGGAAATTTGCAGTTCAGCAAACTCAGCATTTGGTGGTTGAGAACAAGAATGACTGTACCTGAAAACTATGTTTTGGTGGGAATCCACAATGCAGACTGACACAGCAGCACATTTAATTCACTTTGTCCTGTATCTGGATTGTCTTGCATCAGTTGTTCCAATTGGCTCTCACTGATTAACCTCTTAAACTCCTTGGAACCACCGGACGCACTTCATCATATTCTTCATAACGTTCATATTTCATGAGCTACATTCAAAAGGTGGGCATCATATGAGGCTGTAACTGTCTTCTTTCCAGTCTAATAGATGGGTGATGTCATTTTAAACCCTTATAATAAAAGAAGCTGAACTCAGTTTTTTTGAAAGTCGACCCATTTTTCCACAAATCTGGGCTATAAATTATAAACAGATGGCGTCTCTTCAGTGATCTGCTCTGTAAAAATGATTTTTATAAAATAATACAGAGAGCATCTAAGATTGTTGGCTTTCAGCAGTAAATTGTAAGCATATAGCAATATGTGTGATAATAAAACATTTTCTGTTGATTTCAGGGGAACTTTTACAAAAAATAAATAAAATAATAATTCACATTAATTTCATGCAGTTACTGAGTAATTTGCCGTCCAATTTGGTCACGTAAATTCAGATGGACAAACCAAAATAAAGCCACGAGCATAAGCAGTCTATTATTTATAAGTTAGACAACAATAAGAGAAACAATCTTAGACTGTAACAATATTAATCCATCCAAATCTGTTTTTAAAAAACTGTTACACAGCAACAGAAATTCAGAACAATGTGAAACAATGTTGCTCCTTGAACAAATTGAATAAAATGTGCAAAATAATTGCTTGACATTGTGATTTGTTCAACCTTTCCAGGGGAAAATCAGGGGAAAATCATCATCGGATATGCAGTGAAGTGCACTGTGGGCTTATATTTATGTATGTACAATCTACTTTACTTGAAGCCGGTTTGGCCATAAATCAAATTTGTGTAATTAAAATATCTCCTTATCAGTGATCAGTATTGTGTCACCCAATTTGGGTTGCATAAACACATTATTACACCTTCTGCATCTTTATAAAAGAAAAAAAAAATGAGTGTTGTCAATGCTTTTCCTGTAATGCCACATGTTTTGGTAAATTGTTACCTGTGATTGTATATTTGAACACTAGATGTCAGCATTGTTACATTAATGATAGCTGGAATGAGCCAGTTGGAACAATTTAAGCAACCCCAGATCATAGCACTGCCTCCAGAGGCTTGTACAGTGGGCACTATACATGATGAGTGCGTTGATTCATGTGTTTCCAGTCTTACCCTGACCCACCCATGATAAGGCTGGACTCATCAGATCACATGACCTTGTTCCAATGCTCCAATCTTTATGCTCCCCAACAAAAACAAGTGGTTTGCTATGAGCTGACCAGGTGTTTAAACGATCTCTGATTGTGGTCATGCAAGATTTTTTTCTGACGATGTCTCTTCCACATAGTTGACGGATCACTGCTATTGTTTTAGGTTTTAATAATGCGTTGGACAATTCTTAACCCAATATCAGTAATTTTAGCAGCTTCCTTAGCTGTTTTCTTTGTACAGTAATCTTCTCCACAACCATGGGATACATCTGATTATGATTGCTTAAAAAAGAAGATACTGCATCTATTAGGGTTAAAAGAAATGATGCCAGTTGAAACATATTAATCACTGCAGTAATTATCCAGTCAAAGGCTCTTAATGTATTTGCTTATTTAAATACAAACAGTGACATTTTTATATAGGCTTAATTCATAGTATTTGGAGCACAAACCCAAACCTACAGTTTGCATGCATTTGTCTGATGCGTTGATCCAGAGCAACTTAAAATATAACAATGTTACAGAGGGAGGTGATGCAGTGTTAGGAGTCTTGCCCAAGGACTCTTAGGCTCTGTTTACACAGCAGGTAAAAGTGACCCAAATCCGATCTTATCCTTCATATGTGACACAGATGTGTGAACAGCAAAAAACACATTGAGTCTGACATTTTCAATGCCGATTTGAGACGCTTTCATATGTAGTACTGAAATCCGATACGTATCCGATCAATGCGGCTCAGTCTGAAAAGCCAGATTGGAATTCATGCTACTTTTAAGTCAATCCATCTCGATCTTCGTCATTGAGTCTCATCAGCGTGAAATAAACATTAGGCTGATATTTCTGTACCAAAAAAAATTCAAAGAGACGCATCGCAGCCGCTCCGTGTTCGAAGAGATTTCGAATGAAATGACTGATCGAGGCCGGAGGAGACCGAGGCTGCAGCGTCAGAGAACAGTTTAAAGAATCCGAGGACATGAACCAAAGAAGTGGGCGAATAACGTGGCTTTTTTAAGGTGAACTCAAACACACTGTGGGTGATGAGCCCAGCTGTCAACAATTGGAACTTCATAATTGCTCCTGTGATGTTGGTGGAGATGAAACTGTAGCTCCGGGAGCGACTGGCGTTCGCTGGCCGTCATGATTGTTTACCTCTGGATGAGCCTGACACTCATTGTTCTTTTGCGGGTCGGTTTAGGAGCTGATCTGTTCAGACTGAAGTCGCATACAGATCACATTTAAAAGATAATGTGAACAGCCACACAAAGAAATCGGATTTGGTGAGAAAATCAGATTCGGGCCACTTTTACCTGCTGTGTAAATGTAGCCTTATTGGTATAGCAGGGTGTGATTTGCTCAGGCAGAGAATCAAACCCCAGACTGCTAAGAGGAGAGCAGTCATATTACCAACTACACTATACCAAATGAATTAAAGGGGTAAAGTGTCTTTGTATTTATTGTGCACCTTTCTTTGAAATCAACCACACACACACTTTAATGACATCACCTGAATGAAGCCATTTGATCACATGATCTGTTCTAGCTTTGAATGACAAACATCAGTTTAGGAAATAAACGCAAAGCAGTCCAAAATATGTATGTGACATTCATTTTTGTATCAGTGACAATGGGAAGGAATGGCAGAGCAAAGAGAATACTCACACAAAATAGATCAAATAAAGAACAAAGCAGCAAACAAGCACAACGTTTCTGTATTCTGAAATACTTACAGTGTTTTTGTTCTGTTAAATGAATTCTGACACTTAATTTGCTACTCAATGTTAAATTATTTCTCCTATATTAAAAATGCAGGTCATGTTTTAAATGTAGTCTAAGTATTTGGTACACAGTCCATTTCCAATTTTAGAACTTGGAATGCGTTTTTGATTGAAACACAACATATATGAAAGTCATTTAACGTACAAAATGAAAATACATGCAGTGTATTTCCATATGATGATTATGAGATTTTTAGCGCTGTACTAATTCATCTTTTTCCTCAGCACTAAAAGCATTTACCATCTCAAACAGCAGAAAACCACTGAAATTGCAATGGTTGTCACTGTTGTCACTTATCTGACTGTTACTTCTGAGCAAAACATACACTTGATCTCCTTTCTGCAGCAGCAGAGTGGCTCCACCAACGGCGTACTCATACTGTCCTTTCGGGTATTCAGCCACGTCTAAGATTTTCTCTTTATTTTTAAACAAACATACAGCCAGCCTGTGTGACCTGCTGGAACCAAGTACATTAAACCTGAAGTAATAGACTCCTCTGAGTGGAGCAGTGAAAACACCTGCAGAAGGAGAAACAGATGGATCAGTACAGAATCTCTACACCAGCAGAGAGAAGAACCAAACCAGACATCAAACCAATCAGTGTCTCTGGAACGACTGTACAGTTACCTGTTATTTTACTGAACGCGTTTCCAATATTTGTGATTTGTTTGCGGAAAACCAGAATGCTGTCTTTGGGGAGAGGCCCATGATTCCCATTTAAGCCTGAAGCAAATGAGAACGCCACCCTGTCTGCAAGAAGAAACATGCATATTCTTAGGCTAAATCTGATCTTTCTCCATGTTAAAGGATTTTGAAGACATGATGGAAACATGTAAGAACATTTTGTAGCATGGGCTGTGCTTTGGCCCCCTTCACCGAGTAGAAGAATCAGATGATTGAAAGAGAATTCAAAGAGAACGTGAAGTCAAAACTTGGTAAAGGAGCATCTTCTGAGAATGAGAGTGAATTATCTACTGTTGTCATTGTATCTTCATCAGTATAATGTTGATTATGAGATCATTTGAGACCTAAACATCGAGCCGCACCTTCTTTCTTTTTGAGTCTGTGTGTGTGCCGTTAATACATAAAGATATGCGACGGATGGAATAATAGAATAATCTTTGACTCTAATGCTGCTTACATGGACCACAGAGAGTACTGATGAAGCACAAACCTGTTTTTTGTTTAAACTGAGGGGCTGACAACTTATGTTCTTAACTAGAACTAGGCTGGTCAGTCAGCTAACAGGCTAAAAGAGCCAACAGCCTAAACACCTCCATCATTATTGTTACAGGCTTGAATTACATTACAGTTAATCTTACTTGTGGTATGATTAACAGTAAAATGGCAGAATAAAAGTCTAAAAATTGTCATTTGAATGGATTGCACGTTTCAAATGTTTGTGTTTCAGTCACTTATAGTGTCAAGCCCAGGCTGAATCCCAAACGGCTCTGTACTCCCTAAATAGTGTTGTAGCTATGAAAGTTTAGAAATTTTAGCCTCTACAGCCAAACAGTGCATCATTTATCCAGTGTGGATGTGTCTGAATCCCAAATGACTATTTCCTTAGCTGTATTTTGCTCTGTTGGGCTGCAGGATCCAGTGTTTAAATTCCTACATAGTGCCCTATGTAGGGAGCAGGGAGCCATTTGAGATTCAGCCCCAGTGTATGAAGAGGAGCACTGCTGGATTGGTGCTAAATAAGACTCAGGGTGGTAATTTGTTGACCAAAAAGTGGTTATAAAGCCAATGACCGCAATATACAGCGATTGGTGGCCGAAGGTTCTCCTCATTCAGTGGTCCATGGTTGCTTGTCCAAACGGAGCTAATGGAATTTTAATTGATTCCTATCAAATATTATCAATAATAGCTTAAATTCTTTTCTGAAAAATGTGTATTTTATCATATTTTATGTTGGCCACCATTTTATAAAAGCAATAAGCCACTCGAGGCTGTGTGCTACTGTGATTTTATCTCCAATTTGCATTATGCCTAACAACACCCTTCCCCGTGATATATAAACATGTTTGTTTGGTCTCAGGCTTTGAGAAGTGTCTCTGAGTTCTGAGCCGTGATCCAAAGTGCTGGTATTTGTAGTGTTGGTATTTTTCTGTGTTTGACTCTAACCTGTTCCCCTGAATCAATTTTCCTTGTGTGAACCTTCCTGCCTGTTATTTGACCCCTGTCTGTGATGTACTATGTTTGCCTATGTTCTACTCTGCACTTGCAGCCTGGGTACAAACCTTTTTGTTACTTTGGCATATGTTTATTTTTGAGGTTTATGCAGAAACATCATCTTGCTCAAGTATTTGAGAAATGATGATTTGAGAGTGAGAGCTCTCCCCTCCAAAGCTGTCAAATACAAACAAATAAAAAACAGGATGTGAAATGTTGTTATTCAATGTTTTGAATGTCTTGTTCTTTGATTTAATGTATGCATGTTTTGAATGTGTGTTATTTTGTCATGGTGCAGGTTTAGTACGGGGGGGTTAAGCGTCTACCATGAAGCAGAGTTGCATGGCTACAAATGGGCTGTTGTGTATGTGCCTTTTCCTCTGGTGTAATAAAGAAGACTTTTGGCCTATCCTGTGTCATTTTCTGCACCAAGATGCTTCACTATGTATGTAAAGCTTTGTGAAACATATAGATTGAGCAAAAGAGGTCGAATTTCAGGTCTGTCATTTACTGATGAGTTAAACTCTGTAGTTAAGATTTGATTTAGAAAGTTATGGTTCTGATATAAAAGATCTGAGAAATGTTTTGCAGGTTGTATAAATTAAACAAAATGTTTTGCTTATTTATTAATTTCTTTTTCATAAGAAGCTAAAAGCAAATGACCCAGCAGTAAATTTAGTTCAGTACAATGTGTTTTTCCTATCAGAATTCACTTGAGTCAACTTCAGTACAGCAAAGAAATGATATCGTATTAAGTGAAATGATCTTATATCTAGTTGATGTATCTAACATTTCCCATTTTGTGATGGTTGTGCGCTTAATATAAGGTTATTTAGCTTATTTTTAGATATTTTTCACTTGTTTTCAGTCATTTTATTAAGTAGCATTCTAAAACTATTTTTTGCAGTGAGCAATTTTTGTTTGTGGCTTTAACATGAAGACAACAGAAACAATATTAAAGTGAAAAGATCATAAACAGTATAAATGTCTGTGAATCATTATGTCTTTACAAATATTATAAATAGCATGAAACAATGTGGAACGATATGGAAGATAAAAAATAAAAAAAAAGCTTTTTATAATTTTCTTATAATTTCATTAAAACCTCCAAATTTGCAGAGTCGTTTAACTTTAATCAACGTTCATTTAGGGTTTTTATCTTGAGCAAAGCATTCCAAAGTTTTGGGAAAAAGGGTGTTGGGGAGAACTTTTTCATTTCAGATCATTTGACTTACCTGTGTTTTCTTTCTTCAGCTTTTCAATCTGGTTTTGATAGAACTTCAGCAGCTCCCTCTGCTCCACCACCATGTCTCTCAGCTCGGTCCACACATCGGGCTGGACGTTGGTTTGGTCTGGCTTTGATCTTTCCACATGACTGTTGTGCAGAAGCTGCACGTCCCCCATTATGAGCTGGTCATCAGCTCTCTGGAGTTGAACACTAGACAAGCAGAACCAAAGCAGAATCACACTGACCCTCATCCTGAGATGTTTAGTTTGAGCTGTGTGCAGAGGAGGAGCTCAGTTGAAAATGGGGTGAATGTAACAGGCAATCAGCATCTGATTCTTATATAGTGGAACATGCACAGATGTACCAGACACACACACACACACACACACACACACACACACACACACACACTTCAGGAGGAGAAAATGCAGAAGTAGTGGTGGCTTCACACTTGCAAAAAGAAGATTGCAGAAGCTGAACTCTGTGACTGAGTGTTGCTTCACACATCCATAAGTAGTTAAAAAAAATAGACTGACTGAGAGGTAAACTGTGAAATTTCTTCCCTTATAGAAATTCCATGATCAGCTGTGAGTGTATTAGTGAAAACTGGAAGGGTTTAGGAATCACAGCAACTCAGCCACGAAGTGTCAGACCACGTAAAGTTACAGAGCAGGTCGCCGAGCGCTGAAGAGCATAGAGTATGAAAGTCTCCAACACTGCTGACTCAGTAACAGAGTTCCAAACGTCCTCTGGCCTCAACATCAGCACAAATACTGTGTGCTGGGATCTTCAAGGCATGGGTTTCCATGGCTGAGCAGCTGCATGCAAGCCTTACATCGCCAAGCACAATGCCAAGCGTTGGATGGAGTGGAGTAAAACGCTGCCACTGGACTCTGGAGCAGTGGAAACATTTTGTTTGGAGTGACGAGTCACACTTCTATATCTGTCAGTCTGATGGACAAGTCTGGGTTTGGTGAATGCCAGGAGAACGTTACCTGCCTGACTGCACTGTGCCAGCTATAAAGTTTGGTGGAGGGATGATGATGCTATTGGGTTTTTCAGCTGTTGGGCTAGAACTCTTAGTTACAGTGAAGGGAAAACTTAATGAGAAGATAGGAATTTCAGACAATTGTACACTTCCAACTTTGTGGGAACAGTTTGGGGAAGCCCTGAACTCAACCGCATTGAACTCTGAACACAAATACTCTTCTGGATGAAGGCCAAAAATTCCCACAGACACTCTCCAAAATCTTGTAGAAAGCTTCCCAGAAGAGTGGAAGCTGTTACAGCTGCAAAGAGGGGCCCAACTCCATATTAATGCCTATGGATTTAGAATGGGATGTCAGAAAAGCTCCTGTAGATTTAATGTGTAGGTGACCCAATACTTTTGTCCATTTAGTGTATCTTTATATTATTGTATTGCTCATCTGTCTTTTGTAGCAGCAGCTTGTGCTACAGGTGCAGTAAGACATTCTGTAAGGAGGAAAATGTTAAAACAGGCAGATTATGCAGACAGTACTGCACTGATGGGCACTGAGAAAGGCAGCCTCTGATCACCCCTGAGAGAATAACGCTCCACACTGCCCGAACAGCCAGAAAGAGCAGCCACCGCCATGGACTTAGGATAGAGTGCAGTATTGAGAGTGAATGGCTCACCGTGCTCACTGACACAGGTTCAACTGTGTGGCATTCTGCTATATTCTGCACCGATCAGAACTTCAAAGTGCACCTATATAGTAAGTGGAGCTGATAAAATGGACAATGAGTGTAGAAACAAGGAGGTGGTCATAATGTTATGCCTGATTGGTGTATTTTATAATGGATAAACAGATTTTTGACTTAAATTAACCCATATAGTGTTCCAATCCTCGGAAGGACCAGTACAGGAAATCTCTCACTCCCACAGTTGTTGCTTTATGCGTTGGTCTACCAAAGTTTTGTAAATAAACAATACTCTGCCCCATTGATTGTCCAAAGGCCTTATCCAGTCTAGTAAGGGGTGAGATTTGAGAGTGCTGCCCCAGGAATCTCCATGGGCTCAAAGTGCAGAACAAAGTTGTAAATAAACAAAATATGAAGAAGCTGAAAGACTAAAAAGCATCTGCAGCTCCTGAAATGACAGCAAACCACTATCGCTGCACACGTCCTGTAATCTATGAGGTTTTGCTAAACATTCTTCAGTAGATCTCCAACGAACTTGAGTGTTGGTCCATCCATACATAGAGAGCTTTCATTTGAAATGAAACTCTCCATTTCCATTTTATATCTGTTCTTTACAGACAGCTTTTTAAGGACATTAGCAATTTGTTTGAAAATATTAAAACTACCCAATTTTTATATAATATCCACTCCAAAACATTAACTTTATTCTTCTTTCCCCATCCTTTGGTAGAATGACTTGTGTGCTTAGGGTTGTTGTATTGCTGCATGACCCACATTCTCTTGAGTTTCAGCTCACGGTCAGATGTCCTGACATTTTCCTTTAGAATTTGGTGGTATTATTCAGAGTTCACTGTTCCACCAGAGATGGCAAGTCATCCTGGCCCAGATGCAGCAAAACAGGCCTGAACCATTATGCTACCACCACCATGTTTCACAGATGGTATAAGGTTTTATGCTGGAATGCAGTGTTTTCCTTTCTCTAAACAGAATACTTCTCATTTAAACCAAACATCTATATATTATCTGTCCACAAAAGATTGTTCCAATAGCCTTCTGGCTTGTCCATGTGATCTTTAGCAAACAGCAGACTGGCAGCAATGTTCTTTATATCTATTCTTTACAACCAGCTTTTTACGGACACTGACAATTTGATTGAAAATATTCAAAATATTCAATTGTTTCCTACAGATTTTTTCCCAAATTTGAAAAAAGGAATCAAATGGTGACTGAAACCATGTCAATGTAAATTCTCCTACATGGTTATAATGGAATGCCTGATGTAATGGAATGAACTTCACTCAAATCGCAGTGCATATGCTGCAAGTCAAGGAGCTGAGTTAGGCAATATAGAAATTGGTTTTATGATTATGATCTGTGAACTGTCCTCGCATGCACTGTGGTCTAAGTGGAAAGACTGTTCAGAGTAATCTTTTTATCAACACTCCTGATGGTGTCTGATGAAGGCATATATTCCAACTTAAACACTTAACATGTATAAGATTCAATTCTAAGCACCTAATTTACCTAATTTAGTGTCACCATTGTTAGCATGTTGGGACGTTCCAGCTGGCAAATGCTGTAGCAAAAATGCTGTTTGCTAATGCAAATAAAACAAAAACTGAATATTATATGAATAAAATAAATAAAGTTAGTAGGTCGTAGTATTTCAAAAATTTTCAAGAAGACAGCAATTGTGTTAATAGAGTTCTTAATTTTGCCTTTCCCAAAAGAAGCATTATTTAAATTTTCTCTTAAATAAGAGCCACCTTGATACCTTCCCTTTCTGGGAGACATATAAATAATTCATACTAGGAAATAGAACACTAAGCTTTGTTTATATGTAGACAAAATAAATTTACCATTGATAAAATTTGGTGTAGATGATATGAGGCATTGAGTTTCTCAGTGGTGCTTGAAATTTTCTGAACCCTTTAAAATTTTCTATATTTCTGCATAAATTTGACCTAAAGCTTCATCAGATTTTTACACACGTCCTAAGAATAGATGAAGAACAAATTAAACAAATGCTACAAAAATATTAGACCTGGTCATTTAATTATTGTTGAAAATAAAATGATCCAATATTACATACACTGTATTGCCGAAAGTATTCGCTCGTCTGCCTTCACACACAAATGAACTTGAGTGACATCCCATTCTTAATTCATAGGGTTTAATATGATGTCTGCCCACCCTTTGCAGCTATAACAGCTTCAACTCTTCTGGGAAGACTTTCCAGAAGGTTTAGGAGTGTGTTTATGGGAATGGCACTGGTGCGCAGTCAAGAAATTGGGTCTGCTGAAGCATTAAGAGTTCCTTTCACTGGAACTAAGGGGCCGAGCTCAACTCCTGAAATACAACCCACACACCATAATCCCCCCTCCACCAAACTTTACACTTGACACAATGCAGTCAGACAAGTACTGTTCCTCTGGCAACCGCCAAACCCAGACTTGTCCATCGAATTGCCAGATGGAGAAGCGTGATTAGTCACTCCAGAGAACACGGCTCCACTGCTCTAGAGTCCAGTGGCGGCGCTTTACACCACTGCATTCGACACTTTGTATTGCGCATGGTGATGTAAGGCTTGGATGTTCCATAAAGCTCCCATTCCATAAAGCTCTCTACGCTGTTCTCGAGCTAATCTGAAGGCCACATGAAGTTTGGAGGTCTGTTGCACAGGTCGCATCCTATCATGCTACCATGCTGGAATTCACTGAGCTCCTGAGAGCGACCCATTCTGTCACAAATGTTTGTAGACGCAGTGGCAAAAGTATGTGAACCTTTGTTTTCAGTATCTGGTGTGACCCACTTGTGCAGCAATAACTGCAACTAAATGTTTCTGGTAAATGTTAATTAGTCCTGCACAGCTCACAGTCAGCTGTCCTGACATTTTCCTTTAGAATCTGCTGGTACAATAGTGTTGGCAAGCTGTCCAGGCCCAGATGCAGCAAACTATGATACTACTACCACCGTGTTTCACAGATGTTTTTTTTTTTTGCTGGAATGCAGTTCTTTCCTTTCTCCAAACATAAGAAAGTAAACTAAAAAATCTATTTTATACTATTTTGCCTCATTTGTTTAATTTGTTTCTCTTTATCTACTTTTAGGATCTGATAAAGTTTTAAATTTGTGCAGAAATGTAGAAAATTCCGAAAGGGCCACAAATTTCCAAGCACCACTGTATACAATGAAACCATGTCTAAATTCTTAGCAGAACTGTGTGGTTCTTTATGGTTGTTGTAGTTCCAAGTCAAGAACAAAAACTCCAGTTCCTATTGTAAAAACAATAACCTTTTTATGGTTTTCTCTCTGGAATTAATATTTAAATGTAGTTCTACTGTGTTTACAGTGGGCCCAAAGTTTTATTTAAACTTCTATTACCCAAAATAACTCAGCCAGTCGGTCCTTGTAGTTACTGAATACTACATAATTAGACTTAGTGTGTAATAGACTTGGGATTTTAAGGGGTTATATGTTCAGCAATGATGGCAAAACTCTCTAACTTGTGTTAGTGAAGCATTATCTGACACTGCAAACACCTTCTGTACAGAAGCTGATGCATGGTTTCACACATCGGTTGTTGAAGTGTGAAACTGCAAAAAAGAATAGTGCATAGTGAACAATTTAAACGTCCTTCTGGGCCATCAGTGAAATCCTTCACACACTTTTGTAGTTTATGATAT